GACAGCTGCCGTGTTCTCTGCACTCACTCTGCCCTCTAGTGTCCATCCGGCAGCAGTGCACTGATTACTGAATAAAAATCCATTTAGATACCCAAAAGGTGGAAGAAAGTAAATGGGCCATTTTTCTACCATTTTCCGAGACAGCCTTTCATCATTTCAGCACATCTCTTTCTAGTGTTTTCTTATTGTAGCCTGAGCGGTAATGGAGCTCTTGACTGGAGTTCAAGATAGAAGTTGGTGTGGAAATTGTCTTTCAAAATCTGTCACCCAAACTTTTTTTCTTTTTTTTTACCAAAGTCAGAGAAAATGACAAAGATTATGCTACCTGCTCTGCTATATGACATACTGTTTGTAGGACTGCATCACTACCATGTTTTAACCCCTTAAAATGTTTTAACCACTGTTTGTTTCAACTGAAGTGAAGCTGCTCCTTTTTATTATTAGCCGTGCTATGACTTGGTCATTTGATATGTCAGTTGGTTGGTTCACCACTTTGGTCCAGATCAATATATCTCAACAATACTGGGTGGATTGCCATGACATTTTGCACAGACATACATGGTTCCCATGCATCCTGATGACTTGATTCCCTCATTCCCCTCATCTAGCCCCGCAAAGCCACTAGCATGGCTGTAGAGTCTTGTTATAATAAAAATGGATAAAATATATTCTACAAGAAGGGATGTTTGTAAGGACAAACACAGATAATTTTTCCCTCATAGTGAAGCATTTAGCAGCTAAAAAGCTAGATATTTCTGGGACACTCCTAACGGATTGCAACCAGCAGGTGAGGGCTGGATACAGATAGCCGAAGGCATCAGTAGTAGCTTTGCAAGCTTGTTAACTTGTACTGTACGTAATAAGTGAAAAAGCACATAACCCAACTTGGTAAAACTCAGAACACCAAAGTTCAGAGTTGCTGTTCAGTTTGGTTATTTTTTTCTTTCTTTTATCCCTATTTAGATTTGAAAAATAATGATTTGATCAATGCTTACAATTTCAAATATAAAAACAATAGTATGGGAGAAACAAACTAAAGTCTTGGGATCTGTAAAGAACTGAAGAGTTCATTTCCAGTTTCTGTATTACAGTTCTATTATCACACAATTTCCCCTGAAATTAGTGTGGGTCTGTCACAGGAGAAAACCTCCACCAGCTCTCTTCACAGTGTGTGCTGAAGGAATCAGTGGTCACAGCTCAGTGCCACTGAATAAACAGCAAACGTCATTTTCAACACACGGTTGATGCGTCCATTGCTAGCTAGCTTCCAATAATGCATAGCTGGTGCATTGGCTGTTTCGGATGAATAACTCAAACCATCCTGCAGTCATTGGCTGCTTTTGACTTGTCCGTAGCAGGAAACAATGGTGGCTTGCCTGGTCATACACTTATATGTATTACAGAAATACAGTAGACTAAAATCTGTCACAAGATTTTATGTGAGAAATAGTCTGTGAGTCACAAGGTAGCCACGCCCTACAGCACACTCTGCTTTATTGTGTATTTTACTCTAAATGTAAACATCTTTTACACAATGGACATCATGTTGTATGAAAGACTCAAAAATGTTTACTAAGCTAATAACTGAAGTCAGAAATTGGGTCATTTCTCCATAAGACTCCATACTATTAGACTTTTTTTGCAGCCCATGGAGCTGCCCCCTGCTGGCCATTAGATAAAATGCGAATTCACTTCACAGACCTGGAAGTTCTGTCCACTATATATACTGTATATATGTAATCTCCTGAAATTCAGCCTTTTTGCTATCTTTAAAAAATAAAAAAAAACATGTTGATTTGAACATTATTTGGCTGCAGAGCTTGAGTGTGTACTCACTGGCTGACTGGTAGTCTGCTGCCTGTCATGTATAAAAGTGAATAATTTGTGTGTGGCAGTGTTTATTTTACCTCCAGCAGTCAGAAACATTGTTTAACTTCATTAGGAGGGCATAAAAAATAGGTTTATCATACTTAACTATAAGTGTTATTGTTCATGAAGTGGAGAAAATATGTAAACCTATAACACAACTTTTACATCTCCTGAGACAATAAATAACACTAAATCTTCAGTTTAGCAAATGTACAGTCCTGTGTGTTCATTAGACACTCAGCAGCAGGTTGTGTTTTACTCAGCACAAGGCCCCAACCCAGTTTCGATTCAGTCCCGGTGTTGTGCATGTTCTCTTCGACATATCAGCCACAGGCAAATTGGTTTCAGTTCACTACAATCATATCAGTATTTACCTTTGCCTGACTGGCTACTGGTGGCACAACGATACAGAGCACCCACCCCGACAACAGTGTCATCTAGTATCGCTTAACACAGCCTGGCTGACACATACTGTAGAGCAATATTTAAAGTGCAAATGTTTCAGAAACAAAACAATCTAAACAGTCTAAGTTACACATTTGTACATAATAACACCAAAATAACTTATAAGAAAACTTTGAAACTTTAAGAAACTTAACGACTGACTCTGTTTAATGTAGTGGTTGTCAAACTGTGGGGCGGGCCCCCTTAGAGGGAATACAGCCACTGCAGGGGGGGGATGACTGACGAGAGGAAATAATATGGATTAAAACTACGTTGAATCAATGTGATTTATGTCGGGAAAATAAACAAACAAGAGTTTGCTGATGCTATCGTGCTGACCTTTATTTCACTAAAATTCAACTTGGATCCTTTTTTATTAGTTGCTTCCCCTGTCATTGTTAATGATTGATACAAGTTGTGGGGTGTAGACTTTTTTTGGCTTTTGAAGGGGGGAATGCCCAAAAGTTTTAGAAAACCACTGGATTAATGTATCAGTATGTTGCATTTTATTGGCATGCATGGAGGCTCATATTAAAACCTTTTTTCAGAGTGTTTCTGTACATCTTGCTATCCTGGATAAAAACAGTGCATTGTTGATCTACCTTGGAATTTTGCTAAGTAGTCAGGCTGTAAAGAAAAAAAAACAGCTTTAAATTGGGGAAATATTTACATGCCTATGATACATGAGTAGGATGCCTGAGTATCCTGGCTGGTATTGACACATGGCTGCATCACATGTTCAGGTTTCCCATCATTAGGATGTGACTCAACCAAGATGCTGTAAACAGGATACAGTATGCTTGATATGCATGGTTTTGTCAGCCATAAAAAAATAAGACTGTATGTCTAATGTCAGGAGATAAGGAAAACATGAATAACTGTTCCGCCAAGAACAGCTTTTTTAAAGCCCCTATAGTAGGCTATTTCTCAAAAACATTACATATTCATGACTAATAAGAAACACTTAAAGATAAAGAGAAATGTATTAAAGGTATAGTTTTACATTTTGGAAAATATGCTTTTACACTTTCTGGTGGAGAGTCAGATGAGAATACAAAGGGCTGCAGCCAGCAGCTTGTTAGCTCGGCATGGTTCTTTACAAAGGTAACAAAATAAGTATTCCAGCACCTGTAAAGTTCACATCTCATTTGTTTAATCCACACAAAAACCGAAGTATGAAAACAACAATTCACCTACAATTTGCCATTTCTTGGCTTTGAGCAGTTGTCAGACTCAAAAAAAAAACTTAGCATCTAACTTGCCAGAGAGCAAACATTCCCGGTGTGGTTTGATCAGATTTAACTGACTATGGTAAGGCAACATAAACACATGACCTACAAGTGTCATCACAATTTGATTAAAATAATCCATAATCCTGATTGGTGCACAGATGTACATGACACATCTTTTTTTTTTTTATTGAAAACAATGATGAGAACGCAGAGAATAAAACAAATACACAAATCTTTCATGTGAAATAACAAAAACTGATCTGAACTGAACTTAAAATTGTGCGTTCATGTGGACTGATAACAAATTGAATTTAACGTTTAAGTTCTGCCAACACATCAGCAGCAGCTGTACAGCTGGAGTAGCAGTCATTATAACTGTCCAGAGGTTTTGGACAAAGAATATTTCTATTAAAACATTATTACAGTGACTCTGTATGATTAGTAGTTAGAGAACTAGTAAGCAACATTAACCTTATTTTACTGATACTAATATGCTCCACCCAACTTCTGTACATAACTGGCTGTGTGCAAACAAGCAGGGTCACTGGTGAAGTCCTTCTCGACTTCACACCTGCTGATATCATATTCAAACACACAGCCCAGTGCTGAGGAGAGGCCGTTTTTGACTTCAGAGCGTTTGAGAAAGACAGCACCATGGCAGCTACTCTTTGTCAGGTGATGGGCTTCCTGCTGAGTTTGTTAGGGGTGGCGGGAATAATTGCTGCGACTGGCATGGACCAGTGGGCGACGGAAGACCTCTTTGATAACCCTGTGACGGCGGTGTTCTCATATTCGGGCCTGTGGAGGTCATGTGTCCGCCAGAGCTCTGGCTTCACAGAGTGCCGACCCTATTTCACCATTCTGGGACTGCCAGGTATGATTTTATTCATTACTAACAACACAGAAACAACATCAACAAAAATACCACAGGGAAACACAAAAAAAACCAAAAAACTAACAAAAAAATATTTATCATTTTGTTGGTTGAATGCAGGAAATCACCAAACGTAACTATTGCCACTTCTACAGAATCTAAAGCAAATAGGCCATTATGGCTGCATTTTTATGTTCTATTGTACAGTTACTTATTTGGAATATTGGTTCATTATTGGGGGGGAAATAAAATAAGCAGTTATATCATCAAGTTGTCACTGGTAAAAACATTAATAGACTGAGAGGAATGATATATATCAAACCATTTCAGTTCCGCGTTACCTTAGAATGATGGGAAAATAATGATGAAAGGTCAGACCACACCCTTCCTTACGAAGGGGTGGAAATTCACATTGCCACCGTTTCCCGAAACTGGGACAAAGACTCATGAAAATTTTAGGTAAACATCTGATAAGACCTGTTCCTTGTTGAAACATACATAATGATAAGCGGGAGCTCAGACACTGCCATTTTACCTCCATCACACTGGTTGGTTAACTTTGTTTGAGCGGGACATCTAAAATGGCTGCCTCAATGATTCAGTTAATAGGATTTATGTTGTCTGCATTGGGGCAATTCTTAATAACAGCTGCAACGGCAATGGACATGTGGAGCTTGCAGGACCGATCTTTTACAGTTGTAACAAATGTTTACACATATTCTGGGTTATGGAACTCGTGTGTAGGGACATCGTACGGTACAACACAGTGCAGGCCTTATTTTACCATACTGGGACTGCCAGGTAAGAGAATTACACTTAGAGAGAAAGAGACGTTTATCGAATATTTCTCCACATGTTGGATTAAGGAGAACATTTTCCAAAGGACCTTGGAAGGTACTTTAGAATATTTGGGAGGTTTTAGGGCAGATTTTCTCCATCCTCCCTCCCTGCATAAAAATGCAGTCGACTGCAGAAAAGATGGTGTCTCTCCGGAATCAAATGGAAATTTGATGAGACATCCAAAGCTTAGCTGAGCAAGCACAAGCTTTACCGGAGTGTCACACAATGTAAAGTACATTTCCACACTCTGTACTTAACAGCTGAATGTAGTGTAGAGCATATTGTATATAAGGTCTTAAAGGCTTAAGTCTAGAATAATACAGGTACAATATCTCAGGCCATTGAGAGATGACATTTAGGTCAATAGGCTTTATTAAATGGTGCCTTGTTTTATATCGCTGCTACTGGAAAAAATATAACTGCAGATTTGTTTGTCTGACTTTACTTTTTTTTAATTTAATTGCAAACGAATGCCATTAGCGTTGAGGTCTCTGAGCCTCTTTTAAAGCATATTCTCACCCTTTATCACTCCCAGAAAGTAATTTATTTGTGCCCTAGCATTGTTGTTCTACAATATGTGTGTATTTGTACTGTTTTGTCTTTCTGATTTATTGTTTTATTGTCCTGTACGGCTCGTTGAACTGCTTTTGTATGGAAATAAGATGAAGAACTTAGTAATATTTGATATATCAGAGTTGATATATCAGCAAACAAGTGAGGATATTTCTCGTGTAAGTCAGAAAATATCATCAGTGGAATATAGAAATAATAACTGTCCCGCCATAGCTGATGAAAGAAAATACTGAGTTTTTTTTTTTTTTTTTTACTTTATATGGAAATAAAGAAGCTGCTGCCCGTGGTGTATCTTTAGTTGTTTTTAATTGCTGAAAATGTTCATGATTATAAATAATTTCTAGTGCTCTGATTTATTCCACATTGGAAGAAGCACCCAGATCTTTTACTTAGTAAAAGATGTGATACCAGAGAGTAAAAATACTGTTACAATATAAAGTTCTGCATTCAAGTACAGAATTGAAAAGCATTAATTATATATTATGTTATATTATTAAATATTTTATATAAAAGATTATCTTGATTGACTTGACTTACATCCTTTTGTTTCATGGATGAAAATGCATCATCATTTATTTGTTGATGATTGTATGTTTAGTACAGAAATCTTAAAACGCAAAGTAACTAGTAGTAGTACTGTCAAATAAATGTAGTGGAGTAAAAATATTTTCCTCTGAAAGAGTTGAAGTATAAATCTTACTTACAGAACCTGAGTAAATCTACTCATGTTATTATCCAACATTTTACATTTACAGGTTGCAAATCAATTTTATGAGCAAATAATGTGGTGAGAATGTTTTAAATGGTGTAACTTTGACTTCCAGCTCTGCTCCAAGCCGTCCGGGCCTTGATGATTGTTGGAATTGTTCTCGGAGCCATCGGCTGCCTGATCGCCATATTTGCACTGAAGTGCTTGAAAATGGGGAACATGGAGGACAACATCAAAGCCACAATGACTCTGACAGCCGGGATCCTGAACCTTCTTGCAGGTGCAGTAATGCTTTGTTTACAAAGTCTAGTTCTGTTATGACAGTGAAACCATTTTGCACGTATCAGTCCCTCCAGGAAGTTGCGATCCTAACAATGAACACATATTCAACCAATCCCTGGGAATTCTGTGTGACCATGTAATGCTATCTTATCACCGCAACTTCTCTGCATATTTGATGAATCATTGTAGTGTCCTGCGCAAAACACTGAGTCATACAATGCCAGACTCACTTCCTTGTTCCTTGTAGTTGTGAAGATGCAGACCATGCAGACATTTGTGATGCAAACATTTCACATTCATCTTGTCCTAACAGTGCCACTTTATTCTCACTGGAACAAGTTACCTCAGATTTGAACAGAGCTATACAAAAAAGTACAATATCATAAGCTCAGCTATTTCTTTTTGCAATTTTCACTTAGTTAATTCAATTGCATTGCAAAAAATGTCTTAAAACATTGCAACATGCATCACAAATAAAAAAGCTGCTGTGGAATCTGGCAGATTAGGCTGCAACAATCCCCAAAAAAGCTGGCGAATTCCTGGAGTGACTGACTGATGATTCTTCATTTTTAGGAGTCTGTGGCATCGCTGGGGTGTCGGCCTTTGCCAACTTGATTGTGCAAAGTTTTCGGTTCACAACATATGCCGGCAGTGGGTTCGATACGTACGGAGGCGGTGTTGGTGGACTTACCGGATCTCTGACTCCAAGGTAAAGTCAAATCAAGATGATGAGATTAAGATCTGTCAGAGCGCTCTGTTGTATGTTCCTATAACCCCTGTCTTCTTTCAGGTACACTTTTGGCCCTGCTCTTTTCGTGGGCTGGATCGGCGGAGCTATCTTGGTCATTGGAGGCGTCATGATGTGTCTGGCCTGCCGTGGAATGACTCCAGAGAAAAATCAACGGTACGTTCCATATCACTGAAGGACTCAATAACTGTGTAGTATCTGTGACCTTTTCTGACCTTTAAGAGTACCAGGGGGGGTGGCAGCAACTTTGATAGAGCTTCTCTCCTCCTGTACAGTAAAGTAACAGAGATGAGTAAGCTGCTAAATAGATCCAACAGAAATGTCTAGTAAGCAGGCGCTACATGCAAAATACCAGTGCAGATTGTATGTTCATTGCAATTAAAGACAGAAATCTTGGCTTCTGACAAAGCCGAACAACAGTATAAAGTGAAAACCCTGCATATATTTTTGTTATGCTGTGGGCAGTAAAAATCTTCCTTTCAAATTTAAGGACACATACTCAGCAAAATGTAAATGCAGATCCTTTGGTATGTTTTTTTTTCTCTGCATATATAATGCAGAGTTGCAAGTGCTTACAAGGCTGCTTGCAAAGCGATACACAAAAGTCCCTATATTCTTCTCCTGGTCCACCTATTCCTTGTAATGAGTTTTCAATCATATTGTTTTTGACTATATTAATGTGAATGGTGGACTACACAGAGATAGCAGAGCCAGTGAGAGTCTAGAAGTTGGATAATTCACTTTTTATTTAAAGTTGCTTATTTCCTGATATTTTTCAGGTACGATGGGATGGCCTACAAAGCCGCCTCTCAGCACACAATGTACAAGTCTGACACCCGACCCCGTCCGGCCTACAATGACTCCTACAGAGCCCAGAGTATGGACGGAAGGCAGAACCAGAAATTTGACTACGTGTAGAATCATTTCACTTTCATAGATACCTCTTTTTTATATTCTACAGCTCTGTGATGAGTTTTTCACTTGTTTGCCTGCATTCATGGGAAGAGCGGTTATTTTTTTATTTCTCTGTACTTTAATTTGGCAGAAATATGTAAGGTCTATTTTTTTTAATTTAGCATCATATAATCCTAATTTTGAAATGCCGTTTTGTGATTTGTTTAGTGTTCTTTTTGCCAAATAAAGAAGTGTGACTGTTATTTTGTTGAAGTCAAAATTCACCATCACCATGTAACACAAAATAAAGATGAATAATTAGAAACCTAAAGGCTGTTCAGAATAAGTGTAGAGTAGTGTAGAAAGGGTTATACAAACTATTTCTCATCTAGAGATTAGTTGTCTTAAACATTTACACCCAGTGGCTGCCAGGTGTAACTGCTGTGTAACTTCACCACCAACAACAGTAACGTTAGCTTGCTAATATAGCCCCAGTTTAAACTGGAGAGAATATTCAACTTATCTTACCTGACACTTCAAAATGCTGTATCATAATGATGTGAACTTGTTAAAAATTACATTTTACCAAAACTAATTCAATGTAGCTTTAATTACAGAACATTGTGCCACTTATGTTAGCTTAAATGACCAAATAACGTTGGTTGTGTTATCTTAATCAGATTTGAATGTATTTCACTGTGTATGTACATATAAATAAAACAAAGTCGTACCTACTTTAACAAAGGACTGTTTGGTCATTTTAATACACAGTTTACCAACTATGATTCTTAATTACAATTTACACATTACTAAAGTCTTTGGTAGCTAAGACGCATTGTTAGTTTTAATGGTGTAAGCCAATTTACTGAATCGCTAGTTAGAAACTAGCCAGGTGTTAATACTGAAACAGAACTTTAATCAGTAACTTGGTAATGCTTTTACAAACAGCACCTGCAACACCATCCTGATGTCTGCCCTCATAATGGTGTGTAATATGTAATGTAATGATAACTCTATTGTTACACCTATAAAAAACATAGTATGTGTTGTTGTTGTTGTTGTGAGTATGTGAAGACAATCACTGTTTCAGAATGTAATTAAAACATTTACCAGAAAATATTTAAAATGAAAGAAATGTAGGAGAAAATTCAAAACCAACCAATGTCCACCAGAAAAAGTTAATTTAATTTGTGCGTATCATAAAAGAGAGAATCAAAACATCTGACATAAATAACCATATTGATTATTGTGTTGTTGTTTATCCGATTAGTGTTATCAATAGAAAATGCAGTGGTCATCAGTTTATCCATGGTAGTTAGCTGTTATCTCCAGCCCTCCAGCACCATATGATAAAATAATCGCCACGTTGTTCCAGGGTAATAGAATATAGTAAATGGCTCCCCTCAGATAGACACTGCATCTTTGATGTGTCAGCCCTGTTCATTGGTCAGACACTGTGCTCTGTATGGATCTGGACTGGTCTTTGATAGGGCAGCACAGTCTCTGGTAGTCCATTGGGATATGTCTTTATTTCCCAGGGAACAGGCAGAAAAGGGTTTAGATAATTTGCATGAAATCACATTTCTTGATAATACAATTAATTATAATTAATCAATTAGTAATAAGTAGGTGGTAACATTTAATCACACTAAAAGTGAGTCATTAATTGTTTTAATTTAATTGTAGCAAAGTAATGACTCTGCATGTGACAAACCTTTTAAAGCTCCTTTTCGGCTTCAGAGTTTTATTTTATTGCTTAATATAATTATGCTTTGGTAAGATGGGGAAGAGAAGAGATCTAAAAGCATGATATGATTCACTGCACATGTTGAACTGATCTTTACCAAGACCAACCTTTGGGACCGTCACTTCTTAGATTTTGTCAGCAGGAGTTTCAGTTAACATTCGGGTGAAAAAGATTACTCTTTCTTGGTACAGTTTCTGGTAAGATTGGACTTTGTAGACCCAGCTAATTTATCCCCATCCTTGGAGCTCTGGCCCCACCTACTGACTGAGAAATGCATCACTGCTCTGTTAGTGAAGTGAGACGTGTGATTGAGTGATTTACTGTTAGTGGAGCATGTTAAGCATGATCAGATCCCCGATGCCCTTCTTCATCTTCTCACTATCCTCCTTTTTACAGATCACCCAGACTGTGTTGATACATTTTTTGTACTCCAATAAAATGTATGTGGTGTAATTTACTTGTCTTAAACTTGTGAGCCAGACAGTCACCACCACTTATCCCATTAGCCCCAAACAATTACGCAGATTTAATGCTTTTCTTTTGCTTGCACATTTTTTAAAACTGACACGTTTCAAATTCTGCATGCAATTTAAAACTGATCATACAACTGCTTCACAGCACATATTGTCTCAGTGATTAGCATTACAGCAACCTATTTGTGCTGTTGTTACAGTATATGTCAGTTATGCAATGGCACTGCTATAATCGAGTCAGATACAACAATAAAGAGCTGAAGGCTGTTGTGCTTTAGTTTATTATCTTTGCCTCAGTCTCCCTCAGTTCTTACAGTATCTCAGTAGCAAAGTGTCAGCTCTAAGCAGCAGCGAGGGACAAGTTAAGGTGACACAGGTGACACGGTTATAGGTGCTGTTGTCATTGAGTGGAGCTCAGGGAACAGCAGTGCTCCAGCTCAGGCAGAACAGACCCTGAAGGTAAGTAGTGAAACAATGGAGCTGGGCAGTTGTGGGTGGAGGCTAGGACACGCCGCATCAAGCTTAGCCACATTAATCTCTCCAGTAACAATACAAAACACATTAAAGAGCAGTGGAGGAGGAGGAAGTACAGTGCTATCATAGTTCAAAACTGTTAAGCCTTTTTGGTCGAAAAACAAGAGAACTGGTCTGTGTGATACTTGGTAGTATATATTTCCCCCTAAAGTCTGCAGGTTTTGAGGAGAATGAGTCTGACTTCTGCCAGGCAACAGTAGAGGTAGAGGGTCTCATGTCAAATCCCATTTGGAATTTCCCCATTGTGAGACTATTAAAGGAATATCTTATCTTATTCAACCTGGGACCGAGGGAATACAGATTAGACAGAAGATCTGCATTGGCTAATAATGATTCCATACAGTTTCGATAGATCTCAGATGGCAAAGATGAGACTGAAATAAATCTAAATATCATATTCTAGACTTCTGTTTCTCAATTAGCATATTAGCATATCCATGTGTGAGAGGGCTTGATTTGTTTGAGAGGAAGTAAGAGGGCTTACACACTGCCACACATTGCCTCAGATAAAGAGAAGGTTCTGTGGAAAAGTCTAACTTTTTTTTTCTGGCAACAGAGGAGAATAAATCTAAAAACTGGTTGCTAAACAAAACCAACGCTATGCAATAATTCTTCTGAAAAGTGTGGAAGGTTTGCAGAGTTCCAGATTAAGCTACCCAGAAACAATAGTTATGCTAATTATGGGTATTCAGCATAATGAGTACTTTTACTTTTGGTACTTAAAGTTTTATTTTAATGCTAATATTTTAACTTAAGTAAATACAGGACATTTACTTATCAGTACTTTTACTTTTACTTAAGTAAAATATAAATTCCCAATCCTTCATCTCATGTGTGAAAAGAAAAAAACCCACTACAAATGTTGGCTAAAAAGACTATAAGAATAACTGATTAGTCATCATTTAAGGGTAAAACATTTGGTAAATATGCATTCAGGGTTGGGTCAGATTACTTTGAAGTGTAGTCAGTTAATGAATACATATGACATGGCAATTTTTCTCTGACTCTGGATTTATTGTCAGATCGAGACTTGCATAACATAAATACACCTGCGAAGGACAAAGAAAGGTGGTGCACATACTGACCCTGCACTGAGTTTAGTGGATAGATCCCAGGGAGGGAAGGTTTTCTAACCCCCAAGGTAAGCCCCGAACACAGCTGAGTACTGGCACCGTGGCACCGTCCCCCCACAACCTGGTCCCTTACTCTCTGTTCCAGCCACTGGTGCTCTCATCACCTCTACTGCCTCTCCTCAGCCCCCAGAGCTTAAACACCACCAACCTCAGCATGCAGGAATTATACAGTATCAGCTGGCATGGGAAGGCCACTGTAGTGATGTAGCTGATTAAAAGCCTCTGTGGAAACTGGCTGCACATCCAGTATCTGCAGGTTGTTAACAAAACAGAAATTCAAGTCAAATTTGACTTAGATGGGCGCTTGGTTAGCTCAGTCAGTAGAGCTGGCAACCCATGTACTGAGGCAGAGTCCTTGCTGCAGCGGCCCAGGGTTCGAATCCGACCTGCAGCCCTTTGCTGCGTTTCATCCCCTCTCTCTGCCCCCCTTTCCTGTCGGCTGTCCCTATCAAATAAAGGCAATAAAAAGGCCAAAAAATAACTACAAAATAACTAAAAAATTGTATTTAGATCAGTTTGAATTCCTACCGGCTTGTTGGCAATGAACAAAGCAGAGCACAGTCAGACTCACTGTATACATTTGCTAAACAATGAATCCTGGTTTCTTACATCTGCGCTGTCATCCCTCAGTTGCTATAAACACTTTAAATCCCACAAAGCACTTCAGTCACTGTAGGAAGACCTGCATGGAGATGAGAAAGATACAGAATTTACTTCAACAAGCCCTGACTATGGTTGAATCTGCCTGCATTGGTTGCACAGATGTGGTAATGTGGTTAAAGGTAAGTCTGATGGTAGTCAGATTTCCATGTTCATGGAGTGCTTATTCTTTGGGTTTATGGTTTGATTCTGCTGCTCCTAAGTGGCCAAAATATATATTGCAGGTTTAAAGCCTTTTAGATTTCAGTTGATCTTGGTCTTTAGTCGTGCACATGCCCAAAAAAATGTATGGGGAAAAAAAGACCAAAGACCAATTGAAACTATGCTAAAGGAGTGTTCACAGAATGAATTAGAACTCAGCCGATATATTGGTTGGCCGATATTTGCCTGTCGCAGGTGTATCGTATCAGCGTATATGTTATCTGATACGAAAACTTTCTATTATATAACACCGAAAAAATGCTTGTGGTAATATACTGGTATCACTGCAAAGATTCTCCAGCACAGTGCTGTGATTTACAATACTGTGGCAAGCAGCAATGTTAAATTATGTTAAAGAGTATTAAACTTTATTATATGTACTTATATTTATCTGTTAAAGAAAGCAGCCTCCTGACTACATTTGCATAGTCATATCAGTGCACAATCCCCATAGAAA